TGCTTGTATTAAAGCTGTTTTATTGGTTGGTCCCCGTTTAGCCACCTTCTTCTTTAACAAGGCCCACAAATTTTCGATGGGGTTAAGCTCAAGAACCTGAGCTGGAGTGTCAATCACTTTGCTGCAGTTATACAGCAGCCAGGACTTGCAAAGGAACGATTTATGTTTGGGGTTGTTGTCCTAATACAGTTTGTATTGAAGATTATTCCGGTGTTGAGGGTTCATGAACCCAAACGCCTTCACGCTGTTTGTTAGTTCATTTTTTAAAATGTCCACATAAAACTCTTTGGACATTATGTCATTAAAAATTCGAAGCTCTCCAACACCTTTCGATGAAATACATACATCCCCAAACCATTACAGATAGTTTGCCAATCTTCACTGTTGGTATTATATTCTTTTGTTTAAAGGCTGTTTTCGGCTTTCTCCAAACTTTGCTGGGCCCATCATGAAATTATATATCATTATCTTTGTTTGATCACAAAAGATAACATCGTTCCAGTACTCCGCCGACTGGTTAGCATTGGCAATAGACAAGTTGAGCCGCCTTTCGATGTTTAGCACAGAGAGCATTGGTTACTTTCTCGCTACGTGTGGTGAGTACTTGTAAGTATTGAAAAAATTCTCGTGGCTTACTGTTACATTGCAATCATTTATTAACTCCAATGCCAACTGCCTGTAGTTTCCGTTTTTTTGCCAATCTTCAAAATTTTTGATTGATCACGTCTGGTGAGCTTTTTTGGTCACCTTCATTGTTCAGATGAAGCCGATTTTCATTTTCTTCCCGATTAATAATGTTGTAAATTGTCCTTAATTTAATATTAAACATTTTTACTAACTCCTTTGCCGGTTTACCCTTATAATTATTAAAGTAAACTAGTTGAATTAAATTTTTATCAACACGTTTGCCAGGCATTGTTAATAATGCAAATTGCAGTCAATTGTGATAAGAGCCCACCAAGACGGACGAATTTGGCTTTGCTTGGCTTTGTGTCTCTCTTAAGTTTGTGTTTGCAATTTGCAAAGAATTAATTGACAGTTGAAAATTTGCTATGTTGTTGTTTTTGATACTTTTTTTCTGTGTTTTATGCTGAAATTATATTTTTTTAATCCATAATTGTAGTTAAGAATCACCCTTACAACCAATAATGGTGCAACTAAAGAAGGTGGTCTCAACGCACGAGATGCTTTCTTTTGAGGATTGTCGTCGTTTGTCGTTTGTCAAACGAGCGAAAGTAAAACGATTGCTATCTTTTTTATCTTATCTGAAAAATGTATCGTCCTCGGCAGAACTAATGAGACCACCTTGTATAGTTGCACCATGGGCTCGGGGACCCCTGATCTACATTAATCGTATGTTCATTCACATTATCATAACTATCACACATACATTGCATGCAATATTCCAATCAAAATACTCGATTCAACAGCGCAACTCAACCTTGTTTCGTCTTGCCTTGCGGGACTGATGCAGCTCAAGTCAATACCTCGCATGTATTTGTATTTGAAATAGGATAATATACACTCAGCTCTGAAACGGAAGTTGATGTCATTTTTAAGTCTCAGCATTTTGGCTATGATGCCTATTGTACTGCTGTTGTCACAAAAACCATAACAGATTATCAGCTCCAGTTCGGTATAAATGATTGATTCTATGTGGGATTTTCCCAAAAATAGTTCCCTATCAGACCCTCAATTTCAGAAACAGCATATTTTATTTTTGATATGGTAATTTATTTATTTCGTTCTTTGAGAACAACGACAAGTTGCCAAATCTTAAACTTATATATTTATTTAGTTAATTTATTAGCCAACTAAACCTTGTAGCTTTAAATTAGTAGACTTACCTTGGCTTCGATGTGCTTAGGCCATGTAAGCCGTCTATCCAGGTGAACTCTAAGGTTTTCAGTTTCTTGTGTATTATTGATTTTGCCTAATATATCCGAATATATTTGAAACTGAAGAAAATTACCTTACTGAAGATGTAAAATTATTTTGGGAAATAGTAAATTGCTACTCGTTAGATATTTTTGTGTCAAATTATTTTTGTAAGCGTTTGTTTCACGAAAAGGGTATCGTTTGAAAAGCGAACAATACTCGGTTTGGCTTTTAAACAGTTCTGGATTGAATTCCCTGGGAGACCCCTTCGGACTCGCGCTGTGGCGTGTTAAGAGTTTAGAAGCGAAATTGTTAAGAAATATAATATGTATATCAATATCGGCCACTTCTGCGAAGAAGATATTTTTTATTCAACTTCTACTAAAAGAAGCGTTTTATCAGTGATCACAAGATGTTATGATTCGCTTGGTCTAATAGCTCCCATTTTAGGTTTTTTTGTCTACATTCTCCCTTAGGGGACTAACAACAAATTTTATAATTTTAAATCTATAAATCGATGACCATTAACAGTGCCATTGTGTTGAACTGATGCCTCATTAGGTAGGTCAATTGTTCTTAGGAGGGTTTTAGATTCTGGTTTCGCAGAGAGCGCGTGCTAGCTGGTTTGTGTGAAAATTTGGATATGTGTTTCGCTTGTAGTTGGGCAATTTCTAATTTTATTAACGGGATATTTGAATCTCTGAGGATGTTTGTGTTGCGGATGTACCACAGACTCATTTCCAAACAGGCTTGTTAACAGTGTTGAAAAGCATAACTGTAGTGGAAAGCTGGAATTTATTAGCCTCTGCAATTGTCGTGACTTATGTTTTATTTGGTCGCGCTTCGCTTCCAAGTAACACGACTGCCGAGGTGTTCTCCGAAATATGTCATCATTTGTAGATGGTATCAATATATTGTTAAATGATAATTGCGGACAATGTTTTTGTTAGGGTGAAAGTATTATGTTTGCATTTTTGCTCGTTCACTTTTATGGTCCAACCAGGTCCAGGTCCAGATAACCAGTTTTCCAATTGTGTTAGGTGACAAGCTGGATGATGCCTTAAGTGGATGTTTTGACCGACTTTCGGTCTTAGTCTAATTTTATGTCAATGTGATTATCAGTAATATATTTACGCTTGCGTGTACCAAATTACCAGGATTGCATTTTTCGATTTTTAGAATGTCTAATTTAATTGAGCAGAGAATTGCGGCTATATGATATCGTTTTCCGATTTTAATAAAATTAAAAGCATAATTCTGAACTGTAAAATTATTAATAAGTCAAAAAGAATTTTAAAAAAATAAAAAAGTTAAATTTTTATTATTATTTAGCTGCCATAAAAACAATCGGAAAAATAAATGAAAAAAATTATAGCTTTGCGGTTTTCCAATTTATTTTTAGTTCTTCGACATATAGCAATGGTTAAATATTTCATAATTAAGGTTTAAATTTCATCAAAATCGCACTACTATATCATAAAACTCCCATGGAAACAATAAATATATTAAAAAAGGTTTTTTTTTTAATTTAACTTTTTTATTTTGTAATTTTTTTAAAAATTCTTTTTAATTTATTAATAATTTGACAGTTCAGAATTACGCTTTTACTTTTATTAAATTCAGAAAACGATATCATATAGCTGCCATAGGAAATATCGAATTATTGAACTGCAAATCATCATAGCTTCAATGCTCTAAACATATACGCAAGTAAATCATAATTGTAATGTTTACAAGAGTATTTAATTTTTGCAAAGCTGCAATGGTATATGAACTTCGGCTTGTCGAAGTTTGCTTCCATTCTTGTTTTTTTATTTTTTTTAAACTTAAAGTGTATACTTAAAAAGAAATCCCATATTTCTCCGAGCGATGGACTAAAATAAGTGGATATACAACAAACAAACAAAAAAAAACATTGCCACATTGTGCGCATATTGATCATTTTTCCTACTAACCCATACTGCCTAAACGACTTTACGAAGTCGGCCATTAGGAAACTCAGAACACTTTGAGCTCCAGCTAGTAAACCACCAACAAACATCTTAATGAAACATAAATATATAATATTTTAAATATATTGACTTTATATAAATTAATATAGTTACACAAAAAACATATACATGTTAATTTTTAGCTAAAAAATTTGCTTGGATATCTCTCCTTCTAAAGAAGTGGCGATTGGGTAGCTTCGAAAGTTTGAAGTCGCTGCCGTAGTCGCACGTATTTTTTCTTGGCTCAAATTTCGTATCAAGTTTTCTCTCCTTACATCTTTACAATTTAGCTTAGATTTTGCCTACGGTTCGGTTTTTTGATACCTTCTACAATCCAAAAGACAGTGACTTTAAACTTTAAATTAAAGTTTACCAGCATTTGTTGTTTCGGTAAAGCGCATATAAACATGATTATCTGCTGTGTTGTCTCCTGCATTTTTAATAACAACATCACTTTGCGTCAGCCAATCTAATCACTGTCTGCCGGTTTTAACGGCTTGCTAAGCCGGTTTCAGACGACGGAATCCAATTTCAAGGCACTGAAACTGTTGAGTGATTCTCCAAAACGAAAAAAGTGTACTTCAACCTTGCCTAATACTCTGCAAGTTCCAGATCCTGTGACCCCTCCCTTATGCTCTTCAGTCCGACGCAATTCCGAGTTCGCAGCCTGCTAACGATGATCAGGCATTAACGTCGAAATCGCCAGCCGCTCCTAGTTCCGCCGGAAGTTCCGTACACCCTGATTCAGATGCAACTCCTGTTTCGCTGCCCACCTTTAATGATCAGGCATCGACGTCACGGCACGCTGCAACAGCGGGTGCTTTTTTGGCTCGCGCTCCTTCCGTGGCGAAGCCGGGAAGTACCATCATAACAACTAATATCTGCAGACACAAAAAGATAATCGTAAAGTTCAATTTGATATTTACGAGAGATTTTTATTTTAACCATTGAAAAATGTAAATTTAGTGTTGGAAAATGGTATTTTTTTAAATTTCTCTCTCTTTTAAAGTTCTCTCAAGTCGAAAAAGAGAGAGTCCTGCAAGATGGCGACAAAAATCAAAAAACTTAGAGGGAGAAGCAAAATTACGAATTTCGAACTGCCAAATTCTAAACGTGTTGTCCCGTTTGCTCTGGCTTTCTCATTACTAGTTTTTCGGTCAGTTGAAATCAATGTGGTCAAGTGATAGGTGCGTTTTACAAGTGAAAAGAAAGCAGAGAAGGTGAGTAGTGTTTTTTAAACTTAATATGTAGAAAAGTGAAATTAAAATGTTGAATGATTATTAGTTATAATTGTAAATAATATGTTGTTTTTGTAACATTTTAATATTTTATAATTCTTTCGTGTTGTGCATGTGAGTGTCTATCCTGACCGGCAAAAAAAATGCACAAGAGATTGTATGTATGTGTGTGTTGGGGTTTGTTTGTCTATGCAGCCGGACTGCGTTCCATGCTTATGGTCAGCGGTGAAACCGAAATATGTACATATGTACATATGTACGCTGTCTGCATATTACAGCTGTACTTATTAAATAAAAAAATTTGCTGAAATTTCTGGAACGCATTTTTATAAAGTATTATGAGTGTATGTATGTCTTTGACAGAAGCCTGGCTGGATAGACATACATAGACAAATACACACATACAGTCACGTGTGCTTTTTTTGACGGCGTAGACAAACACTCACACGCACAACACAAAAGAATTATGAAAAAATAAAATATTACATATGTACATATGTATCTCTAAAAGAAAAATGCACATGTGACTTATACAAACATATACATATATTATATAAAAGAAACTTCACATGTGCATATTTCTTTGCAGGCGGGCTTCTGACAAGGCATACATACATATGTACATACTCACATATATATTCGTATAATTACCTGCAAAAACATATATATGTACATACATATGTGTTTTTTAGATACAATGGAAGATGATTTGTATGATTTTTTGACGGCTCAAAACCTGCCCCTGTCTTGCTACAAGGACTTGAAAGGTAAATTTGATATAAAAATGACAATTAAGAGCCTTCAGTGCCACATTCAAAAATAAAATTTGTAAAGTGTGGTTTTATTAATTTTCAACTTTTTTTTCCCAGACTGTGGCTTTACGTCGAGCAGTGTAAAATAAAGTACAGAGCACGACCTTGAAGTCGTTTTTCCAAAAAGGGAGCAGTGCGGTTTAACGGAAGAGTTTCGAGCGAAGTTGGAGCAGTGGAGACACGCAAATGTATGTAAGTATTCGTGATGAGACACGCAAATGTAAGTATTCGTGATGACCCACAATTTTTTAATTTATGTTTTTTTTAATTATTTGCACAAATTTATAGTTTAACATTTTCAAAATTTCAGCTTATGCTTTTAAATTAATTTTAATTATTCTGTATTGTTTATTCGTGATGACCCACAATTTTTTAATTTGTATTTTTTTTAATCTTAATATTTTGTTTTATTTGTTTATTTGTACAAATTTATAATTTAATATTTTCAAAATTTCAGCTTATGCTCTAAAATTACTTTTAATTATTCTGTATTGTTTTAATTTGCAATTCATTCTTCAATCATCCGATATTGGTGCTCAAGTCATTCGCCATTTTACAACATCTAAAAGCCTAACAAATATAAACAGAAGTAAATTTAGACTCATATTGCTGAAAGCTTCTATAAAGCATCGCTAAATGTTTACACAGTTCCAAACGTTCATGAACTAGAAAGACTGGCGGAGCAAATAGTTGCTCTGTTTCCTGGTGTGGATAAAGATATTTACTTCCTGAGCAGAAAAGCGTCCGGTCAAGCAAACCATGGTAATTTGTTGTATAACAAAATTCATAATTTGAATCGAAATATATATTAACTTAACAGCTATCATAGCTGAAGCTTTAAAGGATGTCTTTTTAAAATGTATTTCACAAAATTGTAAGCAACAATGGAAATTTTTTTTAATTTTTGTTTCGACCCTTTCGAAAAAAAAATTGATAAGATATGATACTCATTCTGATGAAATTCCGTATCATTTTATGCGTGATATATGACTTATCAGATTGATATCATCGAATGCAATGGTACAGAGTATAAACTTTTTAAGTCCATTCTAACCGAACTTTCGCTAAGCCTATAACTTAAACTTTTTAGAAACAATAGGCCTACGTTAGATGCAGCTAACATAAGAGGTTGCTTTATGCCTGTTCAATTTCAAATTAAGATTTTCTTTGAACTTCCTAATGTGCTCGATCAAACTTTAAAAAATTTTGAATTTTTAAAGTCATCAGTTAAAATAACAAATAATGTTAATTCTAGTAGTTTTTAAATTTTAACGCAAAAATTCCAAGACAAACTTGTAATTTCAATATTCCTTTACATTGACGGATTTGAAATCAGTAAACCTCTGGGAAGCCATGCAGTTGTTGTACTTTTTGCGATGTTTACTACACATTCCCTTTAATACATCAGCATATTTTATCATAACTTGAATTTATGTTTGTAGCTGCGTATTTCAAGAGTGCATACGAAAAAAATTTGGTTAAGATCCACTTTTAAATCCACTGCTCAACACATTTAAGGAACTTGAAGTTGTAGGCTTAGATATTGATATCTAAAAAGGTTCAAGATCGTTCTCCGACTTTTCACGAAATGTTCAGAATTGTCAAAATGATGTTCTTACAAATGATGTAAAATCAACAGGCGTTAAAAAATAATTGTTTGTTAATGACCTTCACATTTTCATGCAACTGAAAACGATGTTATTGATATAATGCACACCCTCTTCGAGGATGTTTGCAAATACGACATTCGTAAGATTCTTTAACATTTCATTACGAATGATAATTATTTCACATTGGAAAACTTTAACTACAGAAAAGGAATGTTTAATTATGGGGAATTATGCTTTGCCAATTAAAAAATAACTCGATAAAAGCGTCAGCAAGGCAAATGATGAATTTAATGCACTTTCTTACGCTTTTTATTGGTGACTTAGTATCCGAGAATAATAAAGTTTGAAAATTTGTTATAGTAATTATTAAAATAATTGATATTTTGATGCGAAGCGAGTTTGATGCGGCCGCATTCGTGGAATTGTCGAGTCTTATAAATCTCACAATGAAAGCTTTTTACTGCTTTTTAACATTCTATTAATGCTCAAGTTTCACTTGTCCATTATTCAGATGTAATTTTAAAGAATGGCCCACCTAAGCACTTTTGGAACATGTGGTATGAAGCAAAGCATAAGAAGGCAAAAAATTACTCTAGAAACACTACCAGCAGAAAAGGCATTTCTTATTTATTAAGCTTTAACGCCCCACTTGAGCACTCACAGTTTTTAAACAAATATGAAAATGGATTTCTAACTTTTTACAAGATTAAAAAGAAAAGTAATAATGTTTTAAAAAAATCTAGTTTAAAATACCTTATCAAAAATGAAAATGTAAATGATTACATTATTGAATCTTTGATATCACATTTAGTGTTAAAGGTCGTAGACAACAAGCCCAACTACTATCTCACAAGATAGGCTGTTGATGTTTGTGAATTACTTGAAATATTACATATTTTAGAAAGTAAATCAAAACAAATTTTCATAATTTCTCAATTAATCGATGTTTGCTATTTTAGCGAGCACTACCAGGCTTTTAGGATTGGATCTAAATTGGAAACGTTTAAGTTTCAAAATATTGAAAACATTGAAGATCTGCCTATCCTTTTTTATAATAATAACACATATTTTAGAAAAAAAACCTTTTTGTTCTAAATAAATGTAAATATTTATATTTCAACATAGTTATAAAACAAATGAACAAACTTAAAGGCCATGTTAAATAACAAATAAAATAAGTCAAATATACAGTATAATAATTTTGATATTTAAGTACCAAATAAATAATAATAAACTGTTGATATTTTAATATCGAACAAACTATAATATCAATTTGATTTTTATACCCTTGCAGAGGGTATTATAATTTCAGTCAGAAGTTTGCAACGCAGTGAAGGAGACGTTTCCGACCCTATAAAGTATATATATTCTTGATCAGCATCACTAGTAGAGTCGATCTAGCCATGTCCGTCTGTCCGTCCGTCTGTCCGTCTGTCCGTCTGTCCGTCCGTCTGTCCGTCCGTTTATATGCAAACTAGTCTCTCAGTTTTAAAGCTATCTGCTTGAAACTTTCCCAAAAGTTGTCTTTCTATTGCAGGTAGTATATAAGTCGCAACGAGCCGGATCGGACGACTATAGCATATAGCTCCTATAGGAACAATCGGAAAAATAAATGAAAAAAATTATAACTTTGCTGTTTTTTAAATTTTTGTTTAGTTCTTTGACATATAGTAATGGTAAAATATTTCTGATTTACGGTTTAAATTTCATCAAAATCGGACGACTATAGCATATAGCTCCCATAGGAACAATCCGAAAAATAAATGAAAACAAATTCTAACTTTTCTGTTTTTTAATTTTTTGTTTAGTTCTTCGAGATATAGTAATGGTTAAGTATTTCAGAATTAAGTTTTAAATTTCATCAAAATCGGACGACTATATCATATAGCTCCCATACAAATAATAAAAATATATAAAAGAACAATCAAATAATTATGCTGCAAATCGTCATAGCTTCAATGTTTTTAAACATATACGCAAGTAAATCATAATTTTAATGTTTTCAAAAATATTTAATTCTTGCGATAGCTGCAAGGGTATATGAACTTCGGCTTGCCGAAGTTTGCTTTCTTTCTTGTTTAATATCAAATTTTGATATTAAAATATGAAATTTACAACAGCATCGATTCTACATTTAATGTCAAAAAAATGTTAAATATTGTTTTATTTTTATTCAGTATTAACTAATATACATAAAATAACATTTAAAATATAATAACTAATTAGGGAAAGGAGGAACTAGCTACTGAGGCCATCGACTCGACAATTGATAAAACTTGTTATTTGTATTTGAGATTTAACATTTCAATCTGATGTATAATTTTACATATGCGTAGGTAAGATAATATTCGATTGGAGTTAGAAGCTGTAAGGTCAGATAATAGATTTGAGGGCGGGGTAAGATCGAATAGGTTTATTCTGATGTTTTGGTAGTGACCACAGGTATCTAGTAGATGTTGGACTGATAGTTCAGCTCCGCAGCTAGGGCAGTTCAGTCGCCTTTCACCGTTGAGGATGTGTTTATGCGTGAGATTTGTGTGTCTAGTGTTTATCCGAGTGAGAATGGCGCATTCCCTTCTTTTGTTCGAAGTAGGAAACTTGATGTCCTTTTTGCCAGGATTAAACTGCTTATACCAGTGGTTAAACGACGACCAGTCTTCCAGTTCGATGTCCAGCAATATATTTTTGATATGTTTCCAGATCTCTTGTTGTACTCCAGGGATGATTGTATGGCACGGAGCTCGTCCAGCTAGCTTTGCACCTTTGTCAGCTAACTCGTTCCCATTTATTCCTATATGAGCCGGGACCCATAATAGCTTAATTTTGCAGTTGTTTTTGATGCAGAGGTGACGAATTTCTGATAACAGGTTGTTTTTATTGCAAATTTTGGACTCCTTGCAGGATGGACAGCTATCACTGCAGATGATATATCTTCCCTTAAGTTCGAGAGCAAGTTTAATTGCCTGAATAATAGCTACTGTTTCCGCAGTAAAAACGGAGAAGTGGTGAGGTAGCTAACCCCATGAAACAATTAATCCGTGTTGGTCTGCCACTGCAAAGGTGGTTGTGGCGACGGACGGAATACTCCTATCGGAGTATTTGTGGGTAACTTCTTTAAATAGCTGCTTAAACGCTGTGATTGGTGTCCTTGATTTTTGGAAATCGTGAAGTGTAGTGTCTGTGGCGGTGGCGCGTCATATCCACGGAGGTGACGGAATGACTTTATTCCAGCGATAAGGCGTTTCTATGTTGTGACTCTTGATAAAGGTTATTCATCTTCGTATCGTGGATTGGACTTTAAATTTCCTTCTATGCTTCGAGGCTACTATAAAGTCATTCAGCAGAATAGAGTTGGTTGAGCACATGAGTTTTGGTATTAATTTGAAGGTAGTTTGCGCGACTCTGGTTTTAATGTTCGGTAATCCTGCTAGGGCTAGGATGCATTTGGTTGGGGTCGTTGGAAATGCGCCAATGCCACGTCTGACGGCAGCATGATAAGGAGGTAAGAACATTTTTAAGCTCGATGGCGCGCACCACCCATAAATGGCGAGGCCATAATCAATTTTGGACAGCAAC